ACACATGTATTTCAATAAACTGATGGACTAATTCGAATTTGATTGTTCGTACAAATGGCAATCCTCCTTAGTAAAGGTCCCTTTCAAACCCATTTATATTTATACCCATCTTTTAGCAATTATTCAACTTATTGAATAATTTGAATTANTTTCAATAAACTGATGGACTAATTCGAATTTGATTGTTCGTACAAATGGCAATCCTCCTTAGTAAAGGTCCCTTTCAAACCCATTTATATTTATACCCATCTTTTAGCAATTATTCAACTTATTGAATAATTTGAATTAAACTTTTTAAACACGTGGCAACTCTCTTCAAACATTCGAAATGTTCAAACTAAAGATTTCTTAACATTCTCTGACCACGGTATTTTTATATTTCATATACTTTTTGAATTAGTTAATTGAGTTAGAACTTTCAGACAGGTGGCAACCTTCTTCAAAAGTATTTTCAAGTTTAATCATTGTTAACTCTCTTTCGCCGGCCACTGCAATACATATATTAATTAACTGATGAATTAAGTGGAGTCTCAATTTTCAAACATATGGCAACCCCGCTAAATACCGTTCAGAAATAGAAAATTTTCAAACCACCAACTTTGATAGATACCCTTATTTTAATCATTCATTTAACTTATAAAATAATTTGAACTTAACTTTTTAAACAGGTGGGATCCCTCTTTCAACACCACAAAAATATTCTTAGCGCTAAAATTAAAGATTTCTTAGCACTCCTTCGTTCGACATCCATACTTATTATTTCGTATAACTTGTGTATAAGTAAACTAAATTCGACATTTGAACCAGGTGGCAACCATCTTCAAAATATTTTCAAACTTCCGTTTGATGTTATGAATATTTGGACTAAAACTTTTAATTGTTTTAAATGCTGTTCTGCGAACACCAACTTCAAGTTGAAAAAAAAAATGCTTAAACTTTTAGTAAAACTTGGTTTCATCAATTTTTTTCGATCAAGTATTTTTTTATTTTTCTAAATTTTTTTTTTATTTTTTTGAGCATATTATAACTATTATTCTCAGATTTAATTTTTTTTATCATAAAAGATTTAAAACTGTCTAAAATCGCAGTCTCAAACATATCTGTTAAAAATGATAAAAAAAAAAATACGATTATCTTTGAATGACTAACACTCTGCCAGCAACAAAATATTTATTTGTCGCATGCAAAATTCATAACGGAGTGCAAGCATTTGATTGTTTTTTTTAACTGTACTTTGAATGTATGTACATTTACTTACATGTGCTAATACATACATACATAGAGTACTTTGCCCATACGCACATGTACCTATGTTTGACCGCCACTCACCGTATTTGCACTTAAAGGCATATACTTCATCAGTATATCAAAATCGTATTTAAAGTCGATCGATAAACGAAAATGTCATCAGTTTAACTTTGCTTTACTACAGTAAAACAACAATCAACAACAAAACAATCAAAATGTTCAAATACGTAAGTGAATTTCATTGCAGATATTCCTCGAATCCTTTCAAATGCAGTTATCAATTGTTGGATTTAGTGACGATTGTAATAATCCTTTATTAATTATTTCCTCATTCCATGTCATTACAGTTCGCTGTCGTTTTCATGGCCCTCTTCGCCTGCGCTGCTGCCGAACCTAAACCCAGTGTCATCGCCGCGCCATTGGCTTACTCCGCCCCATTGGTCGCCTCGCCCTACGCTGCCGCCTATGCCGCCCCCTACGCTGCTTACGCCGCTGCTCCTTATGCCGCCTACGCTTCACCATACGCTGCCTACTCTGCTTACCCATACAGCGCCGCCTACTTGTTACGCAAGTAAATGGAATACATATACACATTTTAATATGTGCACATATATAGTTAGTTGACGATGATGAAAAGTGTTTGGACGAAATTCTGTGGAAAATTTAAGAAAAAATAAAACAAAAAGTAATACGAGTAACGACTAAAAAAATTGTTTATTATAGAAACAACTAGAGATTTTCATATTTAAATACAGCTCAAGCTGTCGACGGATTCGCTATAGCTGTATCAGTAGTTTAGAAAGGGGGATCAACGGGATTGATTGGCTTCCATTGAACGGGATTGATTGCATCCACTGGCCTGCAACATCCATCTTTCCAGATGCATGACCTGCCCGCCGTTATTAGCATCTGCCGAAGCGCACCTGATTTTGGGTCGGTATCCTGGTCCGCTCCTTCTCTGCTCTTCCATTTACGCATCCACTGCTTTGCCTTTGCAAATTATCGCCGTAATATGTTCTGATATTTGCAACGATACCAAGATCCCGGAGCGACTTTTCAGGTAGCTCTGTGAGGTTTCCGCCCTGGTCTCAATGAGCAGCTATTAGTTTAGCTTCACTTAAATAATTAACATAACAGTGCAAAACTTAACCTAAGAGTAAAACGATTCTTGGAGATGTTATTAAATTCCGAGAGTGCTCTAAATATAGGCGCTAACGAATAGAAGTTTGCCTTAACTACACTAAGATAAAAGGGCGGTTGAGATCGTTAGGTTCTGTGAGGAACATTAAAATTTATCAGCTCAAGTAGTTCACGGCAATCGATCTTCCCACAGACAACATCAAAGAGAAACATAAGGAGCTGAATAATTCTTCTTTTTTCTAATGACTGCAAATTTATTAGCTGACAGCGGGCCGCATAGGGTGGAAGCGGATCGGAAAAATTAAGAGGTTGAAGAGCAAACGAAGGAATTTTCTTTGAACCCGTTCGATTCTCATGGAATGACAGCTAAAAAATAGGACTCCAAATGACTGACGCATACTCTAATTTTGAACGTACTAACGAGTTAAAGAGTACTTTCCTAGTGTTAGGGTCCTTAAAGTCCCTCGCATATCGTCGTAAAAAAGCTAAGTTACTATACGCATTTGGGAGCTCGTAGCATACATGGTTTATGAAAGTAAAACCCGAATCAAAGACTACACCCAGATCAACAAAATCTTTGACCAAAGTGAGATTCTTTCTGATTCAAAAATTGAGTAACATGAAGGAAATTTACAAGGGGATCTAGAAATTGACATATGAAAACATTTTTTTATATTGAGCGATAACTTATTCGTTAGACTCCAACTGATTAAATTATTCAAATTATGCTGCAAATAGAAGACATCGGACGGACAAGTTATTTTACGAACAAATTTGAGATCATCGGCGTAAAGAAGATATCTGCAATGTTTGAAGCAAGCGCCGATATCATTAATAAACAGAATAAATAAAAGAGGGCCTAGGATGCTTTCCTGAGGAACACCTGACGAAGCAACAAAGCACTTGGCAAAACAACGGCAAATCAAAATAGAATAACCAGACAATGCTAGGTCAGTCAGTATGACGAAAATCGAGTACTCGAAATCCATGTGAATTTTAGTTAGTGATAGATATCGGGACCAACGGGTTCCGCGGTACAAATCTAACAATTCAATGTGGGGTTGGTCCCGTGACCATCTCTAATTTCGCTTGTGTAGGGCCTTCCCGACAACCCCCATTTATTTGTAGGGCCAGTCGGTGGAATTTTGCAGTATAAACTTAGATTTAGCATCAAATGATCATCTTTGTTTGCTTACGCACCAGAGAATAAAAGGAAAAACAAATTTTACAATAAAGTCTTTGAAGTTTAACCTCTTTTCGGGTTTTCGTAAACGCCATAATCCAAAGAGACATTTTTTTTTTAAGTTAAGTGTGCAAAATGGCTGCCGATCCTTATTTTATTTTCGCCGAAAAATGCGTTACGCTATCCTCCAATTGTTTCCCTGGACCTTTACCCTATAAACCTTAGACTCTACAATCTCTCTTTAGCCAAATAAAGAACCAAGTAGATTTTTATTGACAGAGTTATCATCTAATATTTCAAGCAAGTGTTGCATATTTTAGCGAAAGAGTGGATAAAACTATCTTTAAAATACCGTTTCAACTATTATTATCGTGGAGAAATTACGAAAGTTATGCCATTTCCCAGAAAGAATACCTATTAGAGGCATATTTATGTTTAGTCTAATATTATTTATATCATACCTTAAAAATTACCTGAATTCATCAATTCGTGTTTGTATTAAGAAGAAAAACAATTCTATTTTATTTTTCCTTTTTTTAGTTTAGCTACTGTTAAAGGCGTACTTTATTATTTTGGAATTAAAAACGTAGCAGATCGTACATAGGTAAAGCGGAGTAGCGTAGTAAAATTTAAATTTTTCTCTAAAAAAGTAGTAAATCTACTACGATCGTAGTAAAGTTCTAACACTGTTACTTACCCTACGATTAGAGTGAGGATAAGAGTGAATTCCCTTTCTCTTGGAAATTATTCTCATCTATTACGAAAACTTTTCCTGTCATGAATATTGTCGATGTTAATGAATTACATTTAGAAGGTCGATTGGAATTCATTATTGCTTCTGAAGATTTATAATGAAATCAATATAATGTGGCACGAAGTTCACTTGGCACTTCTCGTATGTATTTGTATAACTAGCCTTGAGCTTCACATAATCTTTAAGGACACGTCAGCCTAAGGGTCGTTTTCTCAAGTAGGTTTTAAAATTTATCTGCCCTTTAAATACGAAATGTTGTTCTGTAAAAATTTGCTTTTAGGGCGGATAAATTGTTTAAACCTATTTGAGTTCACGGCACTAAGTGCGATTCTAACACCCAATTGCACATACACAAATATACTATAAATTTTATCGATTTCACTTCGGTTTGTTTATTTATTTTTTCCTAAAATTTTCGATAACAATTTGGCTATTCAAATATCTAGTCATCTTCAGTCTTTGCCAATAAAGCATACATCCTTCATTTACTTGCGGAGCAAGTAGGCGGCGCTGTATGGGTAAGCAGAGTACGCAGAGTAGGCAGCGTAGGGTGAAGCGTAGGCGGCATAAGGAGCAGCGGCGTAGGCAGCATAGGGTGCAGCATATGCGGCAGCGTAGGGCGAGGCGACCAATGGTGCAGAGTAGGCCAATGGTGCGGCGATGACACCGGGCTTGGGCTCAGCAGCAGCAAAGGCGAAGAGGGCAACGAAAACGAGAGCGAACTGTATTGGAAAAGAAGATAATAATTTATGAAAGTATTATTACAGTTATTAGCAAATTAAACAATTCACATGTGCAATTGCGAGGACTCTAAAGACTGGTTTTCACTATGTCATATTTTGACGTCAAAATTTGGCGACATATTTTGACACAACTTTATCTCCTTTATTCATACCTTGGCCGATGATATTATAGGCCAAAAACAGACATATAGCCGATTTAGCAGCGTATGTACACGACTAAAGACCTATCCGGATCCAAATCAGTCGATAAACCGCTTTTTAATCCCATTTGACAATGTGTTTTCACTTATTTGACGACAAATGCCACTGAGTTTGACATAGTGAAAATCAGCCTTAAGGATATCAACAATTTAATTCACTTACGTATTTGAACATTTTGATTGTTTTGTTATTGATTGCGGTTTTACTGCAGTAGAGCAAAATTAAACTGATGACGAATTGGTTTCGGGCATCAGCTTAAATACTAGTTTGTGAGTGTGCCTACATTTAATAATGTATGTAAATATTTATGTATGTATATGTCAATACTGTGCGTTTGTGAAGAGTGGCAATGAATTAGGTGGACAAGTGGGAGCCGTAAATGCCATTATTGACCTAAACACGTACACAACTTATTGTCTGTCGAGTAAACACTCAATGAATGCCCGCATACATACACGCATATTTTCGATTGCACATACCTACATATATACCATACCACCTGACAAGCAAACAAAAAACAAAAAAACATAAAAAACTTCGCCGAACACCCCTGAGTCTAAGACATGTTTGCAAATATTTCTTTACTTTACTGACAAGATCTGAGATGTGGTAAGAAAGTACTAGAACGGGGCAAAAAAAAATCCAAATTGTCTTCGAATTGAAATACATTATTTCCAAAAGTTTCATGATTTTTGCCTAGCTTTATTTTACTGACATTAAGGAGGCACGTTAGTTTGATAAGAATTGAGATCTGGTGGGTAAATACTAGAACGGGGTACTTAAGCTCAATGAACTTTAGAATACAGAAAATTGGCTGCTCGAGTCAAGAACATCGATATATCATACTTTAAGATTCGAACGTAAATGCCGAAGATATGACGGAAAATTTAAAAAAGGTACCCCTACGTTCGGCAAAATTTTTTTTTCAAGTTGCCTTGAAAAATACTTTAGATTAAAAGCTGTACGGCAAACTTTTTTTTTCTGGTACGGCTTTGGGTACAGTGACTCCAACAAGTGTTCACATGTTGATTTTTTTTTTAGTATTCATGTTTTCACGTTAAGTCTTTTTTTTACAAATACAGTATAAAAAGTTTCAAACTATAAACAAAATCTAGAAAAATTCATAAAATTTCGAACTTTTTAATCTGAGGTTTGAGAAATTTTTTTTTTGTATGCAGGTTTAGAGCCTAAAGTAAAATTCTAGTAGAATAAAGTGCAAGTTTCAACCCGCTCAAGAATCGCGTTGATTTTTAATATTTTGTTTTTGCGTATGGTCTTGCGCATTTTATTTATTTTATAAGAAATTCGTGTTTATATGGAGAAAAGTATAAAGCTCCGACAGCAAAAAAAAATAAACATATTAAAAATTAAAGTTTTTGGCCTGGCTTGATATTTGCACTTGTAAAATGTCCTAAAGATTCAGATTAAAAAGTTAAAAGTTTTGTTACAAATTTGTTGAATTACTCTAATTTTTGTATAAAGTTTGAAAATCTGGTTTTGGTTAAAGCATGAATAATATTTGTATCAAAAAATAATAAAAAATATTTGCTTGAAAGTCATCGTGCACTTAAAAAAAATGAACATGTGAACACTTGTTTGAGCCACTGCATATGTGTATGCATACTAGGGTGATCCAAAAATGAATGTGAAGAAGTAAAATCGGAATATTATGTTACCATTTTTAAATTCTGGTGATTTTTTATGTGCCCCTCATTGGATTTTTTTGAGCTTTTCAGGGGTTCTGTAAAAAATGGCTAATAACAGAAAATGGTTCAATAAACAATTGAATATTGTTATTGAAGGTATCCTGAAAAGAAACAAAGTATTCCGATCAAAAAATATTGATTATCAAGATTTCTACGAAAACTTGTTTTTCCCCATATAAAATACAAAGGACCTTTAAATATTTTTGATTTCAAAATAAAAAAAAACTGGGGTATAATTTTTTCAGTATATGTAGTACAATCCTAGGCGGTGAGAGCATAAAAATTCCGCCTTCGCCTTTTTTGGGCCACCCTAATGCACATACATGCACTAAGTTGGTATAGGTAACAGCAACTACTACTACGCAAACGAATGCATTTTTAAATATACATATGAACGTGCATAAATAGCGAATGATATTGTTATCAGGAATTGTTGAGCTTAACATTTAGTTGTTAGTTGTTTTAGCTAAGAAAAATTGTGCCTACTCGCCGACCCTGAAATGACAATGAAATAACGAAGGTAAACAGTTAGTTTAATATGCAACGCAAATACTAAGTAACTGCCAAAATAATTGCGTTAAATTTAAGCAAGATTAAAATAAAAACAAATAGAAACGTGCTTTAGCCAAAATTGTCACTTTTCGTGGTTCGAACGTAGCAAATAAATATACACATGGCATAGCTTGGCGTGCAGGTCCAAGTACAAATGAACTTACTTATTTATAATTTTTTTTTTATTTGCTTTTGTAAAACTTCGAAGACCATCGAAATATATTTAAATACTCGAGTAATACAACATTTTAGTATCAGTTAAATTTTGCACTTCTACGACGAAACAGTCAATAAATAACAAAAAATTGTTCAAAATGTTCAAATACGTAAGTATATAATTGTTATTCTTCAATTCATTTTTAAGTACAAATCTAAACATAATATTTTTTTTTCCACCCACAGTTCGCTCTCGTTTTTGTGGCCCTCTTCGCCTTCGCTGCTGCCGAACCTAAACCCAGTGTCTTCGCCGCACCATTGGCCTACTCTGCCCCATTGGTCGCATCGCCCTACGCTGCCGCCTATGCCGCTCCCTATGCTGCTTACGCCGCTGCTCCTTATGCGGCCTATGCTTCACCATACGCTGCCTACTCCGCGTATCCATACAGCGCCGCCTACTTGCTTCGGAAGTAAATAGAATAAGGCTGAAGAAGACTGTACTAACGCATTAGAAATAAGTTAGAAAATGTACATAAATAAAACATGGACTTGAACTATGATCAGTTTAATTACTTTTATATTTTATGGGAAGAAGTGGCTAGCGATCGCCAGCTTAAACTGGGAGGGCTCTCCGTATAGAGCTTGCCGCATACTCATGAGAAGTGCCTTCGTTCGTACACGGTTTCTGTTCTCCTCATTTCTAACTATTTAAAGTTGTTTCCGTAGCATTTCAATTTATTTCCATTATTGGACTATTTCTACCAAAGTTAGCCGATTTTTCTTTATTATTTTGAAACGAATATCGTTCGTTCATTGTCAACTTTGGTTTGGGGACAAACCTGTTTCGGCGGTGTACTATCCACAATATAATTTTTTTCTCTTGGTAGGTTGGAGGGTTTAGATGAGGCTTTTACAGGCCTTGCTCACAATTAGGGATATAAAGCGTGCTTCTTTGAACTCGGCCAGAATCGTTTAGGCGGTTCGGAAAGAAATTTGAAATTCTAATGAAATTTTTTAATTTACCCTTGTACTTTTTCATTTTTTTCATTTTGGGGAATTCTAAAATTGTTTTCAACTAGTTTATTATGTAACAATTATTTGTAGGAACAGGAGAATCGATTTTCTTCAAAGACTTTACTTCCGCTGCATTTTGCACCTAAAAATTTAATGTAAACAAATAAAAATTAAAAAATAAGGCTCGATAAATCTCTTTAAAATCGGAATTAGCTTTATATATAAATTATAAATTATATTAATTTCAAAAGAAAAGTTAAAAGAGCAGCCTTTGCAGCAACGAAATTGTGAACAGCCTTTTATTTCCTCATTTTATTGAGTTCTCCCCACCAAAGAATACCTATAAAAAAAGCCATTTTCTCAGAAATCGCGAAAAATCGCAACATCAACTTGACGAATTAAACTCAGAACTAATCATTGTACACGTTTTTGTTAGTCTTAAAACGGCGAATACGGCCAACATTTTAAAAGCTTTTTTAAATTTAAATTTTAAGAGAAACAAAATTAAATAAAAATTATCGCAGAAGTATGTATGTACATTAGGGCGGGGCAAATTTTTTCCAGGCGTATAGCAAAGGAGGATTCTACATGTAATTCTAAGCAAATTTGCCGAAGTAACTATGGGTATTAAGTCCATTTGGTGCTTGCTAAATTGCGAAATTTTTTTTTGGTATAAGGAATCTATTTCTGAATTTATATTTTCCCTAAAACATCCGCCAGAGGGCGCAACAGTGAAAATTTTCACATTTTATTATGCGTTAAAATAAAAAAAACTTATATTTTACTTATCCTTGAAAAACTTTTTTCATACAACTAAAATTCAATACAAACTACATGCATACACATGTACATATGTACATACATAGGTATGTACATTAGATTGCATCAACAAAAAAAAAATGTTGCGGTTTTGACGCCGGGATTACAAAATTTATTTTATTTTAAGACGGCCACCAAAATATTTACTTGAGCTAGACCGATTTGAAAATACCTCCAACAATTGAGTTCTTTTGCATAAAAATATTTTCATAAAGAACTTTTTGAAAAAAAAACCCTCAGATGAAAAAAACACAGCTTACAAATATTTAAAATCTTTTCAACTGAATCGAATTAATGAGATTTTTGATGCTGTTTTTTAACTTTTTTCGAAGATTGGTTTGAGAACAACTTGAATAACTGGGCCAAAGCTATTCCTATTTAGACTTTTGAGGTATCGGTGGAAAGGTATTTCCTCACTTTTTTTTATTTCTGTGCAAATAAAAACTAATTTAAGCTCTTCTTTACGACACTAAAGCAAAATGCTAAGTAAAACAAATCTACTTTCGCAATTTGGCAAACTCCAAATTGATTTTAGATCTGTGGTTTCTTAGACAAATTTGCTTAGAATTACTCATAGAATCCTCCTATGCTATACGCCAATAGTCGAAAAAATCTGCCATAAAAATTGACCAGCCCTAATGTACATAATTTTTTTTATTTAAAGATTGTTAATAAAATACCTGTTATAGATCTTAAAAACACTTACTTTTTCCTTTATTTGTTGAATTTTGGTAATTTTTTTAAACAAATAAAACGCCCCGTTATTTGATTTGAAGTTTTCATTATCAAATACGAAGAACAAAAAGTTTTTTTTGCAAGTACGAAAACTGCCTTTTGGCAACAAAAACTGTTCGAATTAACTATAGCGCAAAGTGCGCTTTACTGCGTGCTTTGATCTTGTACAGTTTCTGAAAGATTATTTTCTATTTCATCGATTCTCCGTCGAACTACGAAATGT